GAGGCGGACTTCCTGTATTGAACCTCCCCGTTTCGATGCCAGATTAAACGTTTAAAAATCTAATTCTTCCCAATTCAGCTCTACTCACGGGTAATTACTTTCGAGTCAAATTGTCCACAGGAAAAAGTCAGCGCTCTCTGGCAACAGCTATGCAGCTTTGCTCCGTGGAAGAAGCAGATGATTCGAAGCACCGCGCCACTCACCCCACATCGTTCCGGATCCCCGAAACCGGGTTTCCCCGTGAGTAGGGGAGGCGCAAAAGGTGCCCGCCGAATCCCACGTTCACAGGCTTCTCCCGCCTGTGATTTTTACGGGTCTCCGCCTTCGCCGTGGCGGTACAGACCCAAATTCCCACGGGGCAAATTCCTCTCGATCAGAGGAATTCCGCCATTGCCGGAGGCACCAACCCGGAAGTCCAGTTTATGGACTCTCTCTTTCTGCCCATAGAGTAATTGGCAGCTGAGAGACGGTAAGCAGAACTCCAAGTGAGGGCAAAGAAAGGCGAGGGTTGCAATGTAGCCAGAATGTTGTTGGCCTGGTCAACTGTCAGACTTGAGTGAAGTAGAGCTGGGTGGGGGATTCAGCCAAGTATTCTTGCTCTTGGCATTAGGCCCTATTGTGAAAAGTGTACCCCACTTTCCACACAAGTTTTCAGGGTATTTAAATATGCATTTCTTTTGAGGGGTTGCAAGTCTATAAAACAGAAATGTAGGGAGTTTGCATAGGAGAGACATTTTAGCAAGGGCAAAGGGTGGGTAAGAAATGCACATCTTAGTTAGTTTTTTAAAATAATATTTTTATTACTTTTCAATTACAATCCAATAATAACCTCTGCTTCTTAATTGTGGCATTGGAGGGTTTTCAGCAGGCAAAGTGCTTTTGCACTCAGCACCTACCTGGCAAGAGCCTGGGTAAAGAGACGAACTGTGAGTGAAGCCTATTTCTCCCTGTCCCTGGGGGGAATTTGCAAGGATAATTACCCTCAATCATCTTTGTTTTTCCTTTGCCAACAATCTTCTGCTATCGTGGGATCTGCCTCCATTAAGGCAGAACAGAACCGGAAGCTGCACATTTTAATTAGTTAGCTTACATCAGCGGTTACCAATGTGGCACAATTCTTGCCATCCTGCCTTGCCTTTCTGTTTGAGGAAGTGATCTAGCCCCAATGTCCAGCAACTCTGAGTTGTCTATTGAAATCAGAAGTGTAGTCAGAAAAGCCATTAATTGGTTTTCCTCATCAACCAGAAGTAATCACACTTCCCTCCTGGGGGAAACACAAGATTCAGGAACCTTTTGAACAGAGGAGAGAGAACCAAGGCTGTTATTCTTCCACTCAGTTTTTGCAGTTTGATCTGGTGCAGTCCACCTGCCATGGATCTCTCTACCAGTGCTGTGGTCTTCCTGTTCCTCACCTACCACCTCTGTGAGGCAGGAGATCGAAACTATAACTCAATCCTCTTTGTGGCCCATGGCGGGGAGTGGGGAGAATGGGGAAAAATTGAATCCTGTCCCAAAGGACATGCATACGGATTCTCACTGAAGGTAAAGGCTTATCTATATCTTCTTTTTGATACCCCAATCCCAAGGAATAGTCACAATAATGTAATATATATATATTCTAAGTTGCTTCCCATCTTTCTTTCAGAACCCATTACCTGTATATTGCTGCCTGCAAGGTGCTTTGAAGTGTTGACTGCCATGATTAAAGATTTAATAGCTCTACAAAGTCTCCATGCCACTTTGTCAATCCACACTGGAGAGGCTTAGAGTGAATTGCATTTTACAGAAAAGAAAACTGGATGGACTGGAGGAAAAAAGGGACAAGGATACAGAAAAGTTTGGAGTGCAATGAGCTGGCAATATTGTGGTCAGGTTTATCTTTCTGAAAAGTGAGCCCCCAACTGGAAAATACAGACTAAACTTTTGGTGTGGAAGCAACCCAGGTAATTTCTGGTGCCTTCTAGAAGGGTTGCCATAAATCCAGATTTTCGCTGACATGTCCAGGATTTCAACAACTTTCCTCCAAAAAGCTTAACAACTTTTTTTGTTTGGATTCTTACTTCTTGAAATAATATGGCAACCCTAACTTCACAAACTGGAGGAAATCTGCTGTAGCACATGAAGACATAAGAGAGGGATTGAGGATGCCTCAGCCAGTCATTAGCAAGATCAATTTTTCCCTATTAAGTTTGCTTACTTGGGGCCCATTGGACTGGTTGCACCAAAAAGCTACTGTCTTTTGATGCAGCTCAGAATGTAAATCTCAATCCAGAACCAGTAATACTTGTAAACAATTAGGGACATGTAATTATGAACAGATAACTGCTTATTCATGTTGCAAGCTACTACTTTGGAAAATTCAGACTAGTGCAAGCACACCAGTGCAAGTAGATAAACAGGTACCACTGTGGGAGGAAGGTAAACAGTGTTCCCGCAGGCTCTGGTTTCCGTCATGGTATTCCATTGCGCCAGAAGTGGTTGAGTCATGCTGGCCACATGACCCGGAAAGCTGTCTGTGGACAAACACTGGCTCCCTCAGCCTGAAAGCAAGATGAGCGCCACAACCCCATAGTTGCCTTTGACTGCACTTAACCATCCAGGGGTCATTTACCTTTTACCATTACCACTCCACTGCTCTCTAACCATAGTTTTGATTGCTGTGCTTCGAGACTCAGAAGAAAAGAAAATAACATATCCATTCGTCAACCCCTATATGAGAGGAGCAGGGAAGCAATTTAGCCCCAAGAGATAGATTGGAATGTGGCCAATCTTCCATGGGTGGATGGGGCCAAAAGCAGAATAAAAATCCAAATAAGTAAATAGAAATAGAAAATAAATAAAATCCACAGGCACACACATAGAGAGAGAAAGAGGCAGGCGGAAAAGTATACATACACACATTCAGAAAGCCAGAGATCCCTTTCCCTAATCTTTAAGAATAAAAATCAGCTTTTACTGCCTTATTTATTTCACCATACAAACGGAAATGACTCTCTGATGAGATTGGTTTTTAAACTTTCTATTTTTACATGCATTATATTGTAACAACTTCAGAAAGCCTTCTCGTCAGCCAGAGAACTTTTGATCATGGATGGTTCTTAACATATGTATTTGTTCTTGTATTATAATTTATAGAATTGTGCAATCAGGCTTGAATGAGTACAGTCAGGGTGACTGTAGTGTTTCGTGATCATGTAATTAAAAAACAAACATCCCTTGTAAAAACAACAACAAAAAACCAGCTTTTACTTTCCAAGAGCAAGCAGAGTCTCTTCTCTGGTTTCAGCACTAGAGTCTCATTGTGCATAGATTGAAGGTAAGTGAAATGCTGCCTGCACTTTAAGACTAAAGGCATTTGCATCCTCCTCCTCCACGCTCCTGGAGTAGGAATATGTGCAAATGTTGCTTTCTACTCTCAAATAACAGCCCGAGGCTTATTTCTGAGCTGAGCACTGTTGGGCAGAGTGCTAAAATTCGGGATAAGACTTTTCTTGCACTTTGAGCTCTTGGTGGTGCTTGGTGCCAGGGGTGCCGACTTGAATACAATACAGTGGTACCTCGCAAGACGAATGCCTCGCAAGACGGAAAACTCGCAAAACGAAAGGGTTTTTTGTTTTTTGAGCTGCTTCGCAAGACGATTTTCCCTATGGGCTTGCTTTGCAAGACGGAAACGTCTTGCAAGTTTGTTTCCTTTTTTCTTAACACCGTTAATACAGTTGCGACTTGACTTCGAGGAGCAACTCATAGCACGCGGTGTGGTAGCCTTTTTTGAGGTTTTTGAAGACTTTGGTGATTTTTAAGCTTTTCCAAAACTTTTCCGACACCGTGCTTCGCAAGACGAAAAAAATCGCAAGACGACAAAACTCGCGGAACGAATTAATTTCGTCTTGCGAGGCACCACTGTATGGGGGGAGGCAGGTAAGCTCCACCCCACATATTTGATCACATGATGCACACCATTAGAATGGCAGTGCCCATCAACTTGGGAGGGGAGTGACACCCTCAAATAGCTTATGGGGGAGGCGAATGGACCTTGGCTCCTAGGAGTTGGCTGCTATGCGTGGTGCTCAGATTCCTTCAAATTCTCAAATCTTACCGCATGGTGCTTAGATCAGACATAAGATATCTCTGTGCCTAAGATGGCTGGTTATTGCCAAGTGGGTGCAATTTGTTCAAAGCAACCTCATGGGACAAACTGAGAGGCTGGTGGGCATGGCAAGATCAATGGGCTAAAGATATTGCACTACAGGTCTAGGATGGTACCCTCTTTAACATTGCATTGGCCTCCCATCCAAAACCAATTCATGCAGTCTTAAGGAATTGAGATCGGGAAGGGACAAAGCTCCAAACGATACACACAACTTTTGGTTAAGATTTATTGTTGGTTAAATTTCATGCCAACAAACCATTAGAACACAGGCAGCTCTAGGATGGTACCCTCTTTAACATTGCATTGGCCTCCCTGTTAGGATACAGTTCCGTTCCACCTTAAATGGCCAGGCATGATCGTTGTGTGTCACATGCCTGTTTACTCCCAGCACTGTTCTCTCTGGGAACTTCCGTTTTGTATATAGTTTTTGTTCCGGCTGTTTTCCTGGACACGAATGCAAGCAGTCATGTTTTTCCTTTGTTCTGATCTACTTTGAATAAAGCTGTAAATATGCTCTCCTGGCTGAATCTTCAGCTGTGGAAACTCTGCAGAAAGGGTGTGCACTAGCCTTGGAATGTGTCTGAGGCTCGTGTCACCAATTGACTGGTGCTGTTCTACGGGAGACGGGGAGATCATCCAGAGACGACGTGGAGGCCTGCCTGATGGCTTTGTCTCCCTGGCAGTATCCCAACACTCCCATTCAAAACCAATTCATGCAGTCTCAAGGAACTGAGATCAGGAAGGGACAAAGCTCCAAAAGGTACACACAACTCTTTGGTTAAGATTTATTGTTAGTTAACTTTCATGCCAACAAACCATTAGAACACAGGCAGGATGAAGCCCAGGTGGTTCAGTCACAGCAGAAGAACCTGACATGATTAAGTGCTGTGCTATCACCTGGAGCTAGAGCCTCCACCTTTGTTTGGATCCCACAGATGGCACCAGCGGTGCAGCGCTTGCTCCACTGGCCGTAAGTACCAAAGGTGGGGGACTCGCCCTCCAGTATAACACCATCTCCACAGCTGAACTGGATGCTGTTGGCTGCTGTATCATTAGCTGGCCCTTGTGGGGCTTGCACATTCAGAGTGAAGGCAACCAGGTAGCCCTTGGGGCATTCCTTAACTTCTGTTTTTTGGTCCCTCTGAGTTTTCGTGTTCCCGCCTCCACATCTGTTAAGGTTAACAAGGCAGCACTGCTCTTTTGCCCTCATATCTTCCTACCTCCAGTTGAGAATGTCCATGACCTTCCCTTAAAAAAAAAAATCCTGAACAAATTTGTGCACATAAGTTATTTAGGAATAGTGAAAATAATAATAGAATCAGAATGTAGGGCTCAAGCCCATGACCCTGAGATTAAGAGTCTCATGCTACCCTCTAAGCCAGGCATGTACAACATGTCAATATTGAGACTCCCAGGGTTGTTTGTGGTCAGTCGCAGGGCCTTTCTCTGCAACATCAGATGCAGAAGTGCAGGCGCAGAAGACAGGCTTAGCGTGGTTTTCCCGACGGGGAAGGGGGTGGCTCCTGGAGACAGAGGGAGGCACAAGGAGGAGCCACGTGGGAAGGCTCCCATTGACATGGAGGGAAGGAGGAAGGGGGAGGGCAGGCGCTATCAGGATCCACATCAGCTGCGTGGCTCCTGTTGACAAGGCGGAAGAGAGATCGCACACTGTTGTGGGAGTGTGGGTATGTTATGTACTAAGCTTGGATCCTAGAACAATAGGCAGTTAGGATCCTAGAATGCAATGACTGATTGGCCTGCAGGAGAAGGCCAATCAGGCTCCAGGAGGAAGTTAATCAGCCTATTAGGCTGGTAGGATCGTAGAATGCAACAACTGATTGGCCTGCAGGAGAAATCCCATCAGGCTCCAGGAGGGAAGCAGAATCAGCCAATCAGACGGGACTCATTGTGTAAATAATGTATATAAAGGCCCGAGTTTTTTTTGGGGGGGGGGGATTCAATCACTGTTTTACAAGCAGCAATAAAGAGCACGAAATCACTGCAGGACTCCAAGTATATTTCAGGGTAGGAGAAGTTTCGCACAGGACAGCTCTGCAGCCCAACTGGTTTGGGGGGGGGAGAGGGAGAGCTGCTGGGGGAGGGAGGGAGAGAGAGAGAAAGGGCTGGCTTGGGGGGGGGGAGACAGCTAGGCGCCGGCCCACCCTGCATCCACCCCTGCCACCCACCCTGCATCCAACCCTGCCCCCATCGGGGAAAGCAGCCAGTACCAGCCAGCCCACCATGCACCCAACCCTGGGTGGTAGATCACCCCTGCGTTTGATAATGGATCATAGAGCAGCAAGTTGCCGAATCCTGTTCTAAATCACAGTGCACAGTACTGGTCTTTGGCACTGACATGATGTCCTCACCCTTCCGACAGCCCTCCCCACTCTCACAGGCAAATGGGTTCTGGTTGTGGAGGCATTTCCTAAAGGCACTGGTAATGGGGGTGGGGGCAGGACAAAGAAGATTTCATAGCCTTCCCAATGCTCTGCTTTGTGATGGCTCAGAGGAGGTGTTGCTCAGGACAGAGAGTTCCTACACTTCATTCTCCCGCCCCTATAAATCCCCTGCTCACATACATATTTGCTCACTCGGCTTAAGGACGCTTTCATTCTGCCTGGCAGCTGAGAGACAGTAACAAGAACTACATTGCTCTGCTCTAAGAAGTTTGGTAAGGGAAGACAAGGGTTGCAACATGGCCAGAATTACAGAGGCCTGATCAGTAGCCAGTAACCAGTGGGGATCCAGTCAAGCATTCTTGTTAGTGGTCTTAGGCCCTATGTTTTGTGAAAAGTTTACCCCGCTTTTCACAAAAGATTTCAGGGTATTTAACGATACATTCCTTTGGAAGTGTTGCAAATCTATGGCAGCATCCCCCAACCTCGTGATCTCTAGATGTTCTGGACTACAATTCCCATCAGCTGGAACCAGCACTGTGTTTGCTGGCTGGGGATGATGGGAGTTGCAGTCCGGAGCATAAGGAATTTACCAGGGTGGGGAAGGTTGGCCTAAGGGGCGCTGCAAGCCTATGCCCTTTCCATGTATTAATTTGTAGATCAGTGTTGCAGGAGGTCCCAGGTATATCCTCCAGCATCTCCTAGTAGGGCTAGGAAGTCCCCTGTCTGAAACTTTGGAGAGTAGCTCTAGTGTAGACAGAACTAAGCTAGATAACCAATGGCCTGACTTAGAATAAGGCAATTTCTGTGTTTCTAGAGCGAATCCCTGCCAAAGTGTGTATCTCTGATGTTGGAGGCACTTAGTCCAAGCTGAATAATTTTTTTTTTGGTAGGCAAAAAATGGCTATTATAAAGAGCTCTGCAGAAGAAATATATCTACTCCCTCTGTGTTGTCTATCCCTCTCCCACCAACACCAGACTTTAGTAAGACCAGCAGAATACTGGTGCCTGCAGAAGCTCACTGGTTTTCCCCACTGTGCCCTGCAAAGCTGTGGGAAAGAGGACCGGTTCGTCTCTTAGGGTCAGTTTCCAACTGTTTTTCAAACTGGTGCTCTGGTGTGGAATTAATAATGCTGTGAGTTTGCTACCATAAGTTCCAAGATGCTTAAGGATGGGTTGGCTATGGGGTGGCTCTTCCCTGTAGAGTTGGTGGGAAGGTGATTGGCTCTGCTAAGAGCCTAAGGCATTAGTCAGAGACAGAAGTAAGGAAAACTCACCCACCTTCAGTTAGGCACAAGTCTTAGGCTTATGCACACATTACACTGGGCAGAGGTGTATCCTTTCTCTACACTTATACTAGTACTTATGTCAAAGAGTGTACACTGATTGATTTGTGCACCTCAGCTACAGTGCACACAGGTACACAGAATTACACTTACAGGAATGCACTGAGGGGACACCCCTTGAAGTGAAAACAAGAGCAGGCTGGAGCAAGAGAGACAAATGTAGAGGAAGTACTTTCCTCCATTTATTTATTTATTTATTTATTTATTTATTTATTTATGCATGCTTTCTACTTGCTAGTATGAGCCTCTGCCAAATAAATTGTGATGATGGCAGGTAGCTGAGTGGAGTATCCTGTCAATTCTATTTAAATGTTACACCTGTCTTCACCCTAAATCATTTTACTTTATTGAGTTATTTGGGGCTGATAGGAAGTATGCGTTTGTTTCAAGTTAAATGACAATTTGTGTTTCCATCCCCAGGTGTGGCAATTTTTCCCTTCTGTCTTATACCTGAGACTCTGTGTGTGTGTGTGTGTGTGTGTGTGTGAGAGAGAGAGAGAGAGAGAGAGAGAGAGAGAGAAATCCCTTAAGAAAAAGAGAAACAGAAATTGGAGGGGGAGTTTTAATAGGAAGGCCAAATTGCCAAGACATAGGAAATACAACAACTTGGTTGTTGAACGCCTTGCGACCCGAACGTTTTGGCTCCTGAACGCTATAAACCTGGAAGTGAGTGTTCTGGTTTTTTGGACTCCGACGGGGCTTCCATGTCTTCCGATTGAGTGCAAGAAGATCCTGCAGCCAATCAGAAGCTGTATCTTCGTTTTAAATGTTTGCGGAAGTTGAATGGGCTTCCGGAACGGATTCTGTTCAAGAACCAAGGTACGGCTGTACATTTTGGCAAGGGTGAAGGGTGGGTAAGAAATTCACGTTTTAGTTAGTTAGAAATCAAAAGGTGTAGTCAGAAAAACCATCAACTGATTTTACTTCATCAATCAAAAGTAACCACACTTCCCTCCGGAAGTGCATCATGTGATCAATTATGTGGGGCGGAGCTTACCTGCCTCCCCCCATATTGTATTCAAGTCGGCACCCCTGTCACCAAGCACCACAAGAGCTCAAAGTGCAAGCAGAGTCTCATTCCGAATTTTAGCACCCTGCCCGACAGTGCTCAGCTCAGAGATAAGCCTCAGGCTGTTATTTGAGAGTAGAAGGCAACCTTTATACATATTCCTACTCCAGGAGTGTGGTGGAGGAGGTTGCAGGCAGCATTTTACTTCCCTTCAATCTATGCACAATGAGACTCTAGTGCTGAAACCAGAGAAAAGACTCTGCTTACTGTTGGAGAGCAAAAAGCTGTTTTTATTCTTAAAGGTTAAGGAAAGGGATTTCTGGCCTTCTGAATGTGTGTATGTATACTTCTCCGCCTGCCTCTTTCTCTCTCTATGTGTGTGCCTTAGTTTTTTTAAAATTATATTTTTATGAGTTTTCAATTACAATCCAATAATAACCTCATTATAACAATACCAGTTTATAATACAATTATTAATATCAATTGTTCAAATTATATAATTTGGATAAAGTGGCCCCTCGCCTGCTAGAATTGATGGCTTGATTATTTGCTTTATTTCTGCATTCCAAAATCTTATTAATTTTCATTACATTCCAGTCATAATAATAATTCCTTATACAACAATTACAATATTAATAGCTTCTATTCGTGTTGACACATTAAATGATTTATAAAAGTACAAGTGAGGAACTCAAACTTAGTTCTTCCTGTGTGTGGCTATTATTCTGTCCGTGGTTTTTCTTCCTGTCCTGGTAAGATCTTATGTCTTTCTGTCCCCTGGTTGTCACTGTTATCTATCATGCCTTGGGCAGAGCTGATATCCCATTGTTGTTCTAGAAATTTCTCTATTGCTCTGTCCTGTGCTTCATTGCTTTGCAACTTTAACAACTGCCGCAAAAGTCACTCTGCCCCAATAAATAGCCTGTTTTTACCATTTCTCCTCTCAGCCTGGGAAGAAGAATGGCCTGTCAAACTGCAGATGATTCAGTTTGTGATCTCATCTTTCCTAGCACATGCCTGTATTTTAGTCCAATTAAGCTTTAATTAACAGGAGAAACTCTGCTTCTTAATTGCGGCATTGGACGGTTTTCGGCAGGCAAAGTACTTTGCTCTCAGCACCTCCCTGCCCCCCTCATTGCATGTGAGAGCCTGGGTAAAGAGACGAACTGTGAGTGAAGCCTATTTCTCCTGTCCCTGAGGGGAATTTGCAAGGATAATTACCCTCAATCATCTTTGTTTTACCTTCACCAACAATCTCGTGCTGCCGTGGGGTCTGCCGCCATTAAGGCAGAACAGAACTGGAATCTGCACATTTTAGTTAGTTAGCTTACATCAGCGGTTACCAATGTGGCACAATTCTTGCCTATTGTCTATTGATGAAGAAGAAGAAGAGAAGAGTTTGGATTTGCTATCCCGCCTTTCACTCCCCTTCAGGAGTCTCAAAGCGGCTAACAATCTCCTTTCCCTTCCTCCCCCACAACAAACACTCTGTGAGGTGAGTGGGGCTGAGAGACTTCAGAGAAGTATGACTGGGCCAAGGTCACCCAGCAGCTGCATGTGGAGGAGCGGAGACGCGAACCCGGTTTCCCAGATTATGAGACTACCGCTCTTAACCACTACACCACACTGGCTCTCTGATATTGATATCAGAAGTGTAGTCAGAAAAGCCATTAATTAGTTTTACTCATCAACCAGAAGTAATCACACTTCTCTCCAGGGGGAAACACAAGATTCAGGAAGATTTTGAGCAGAGGAGAGAGAACCACACTTTCTGGGGAATAAATTCTCAAGGCTGTTATTCTTCCATTCAGTTTTTGCAGCTCGATCTGGTGTAGTCCACCTGCCATGGATCTCTCTACCAGTGCTGTGGTCTTCTTGTTCCTCACCTACCACCTCTGTGAGGCAGGAGATTGAAGCTATAATTCAGTCCTCATGGTGTCCAATGGCGGGAAGTGGGGAGAATGGGGAAACATTGAAATGTGTTTTACAGGACATGCATACGGATTCTCACTGAAGGTAAAGGCTTATCTATATCTTCTTTGTGATACCCTGATCCCAATCGAGTAGTCACAATAATGTAATATATATATATATTAAGTTGCTTCCCATCTTTCTTTCTGAACCCATTGCCTGTATATTGCTGCCTGCAAGGTGCTTGAGCAATGGGACTTCCCTTCCTCCCTTTGCATCCCCTGCAGAACCTCAAAAGGTGCTCCAAAGGGTTGGGAACCCTCCAGAGGGGGGGATAAGGAGCTGGCAGAGGAAGAAAAGAAACGAAAAGTCCCATTGCACAAACAGATTTCCGATGTCCATGTAAATGGATCATTGTTTCATTATCCTCCACGTTTGTTTAAATATTCCCAGACTTTGCTTCCAGAATATCCATCCATGTATTCGTATGCTCCTGTTTAGACATCAATTGCAGAGACATTTCTTCCTTCAAAGCATTCACTAAAGCTGTTGCAGCTCTTGCTGTTGTTCCGTTGGAATGCTTTTCATCCCGAGTAGGCACCATGTTTTTCAAGTCTGCTTCCTTGTCCAGATGTGTTCCAAAGTGCCTTCCATTCAAACAAAAGTAGTGGGCAATATTGCTTTCATTCGCTGAAGTGGTGCTTGCTGATTTTCCAAACCTAAAGGCACCAAGTGTGGTATATCTTGGCCCATTTTTATGGCTCATAGGGATAGTCATTGCTGTATCTGGATAGGAAGCGCTTGCCTCATGCCACCATCTCCCCACTCCTCATAAACAAAGACTTTGCAGCTCTACATTGGCCTTTCTTCCGCATGATTGTTTGTATCCTCCAACAGGTCTTTGCAGGTCTCTAACAGACCTCACAGTGCGGCTTCCTGTTAAATTTTGAAGGGTACTATGAAGCTGAGGGTGAACTTCAGCAGTTCTGTTATTCTGTGGATATATTTACACTACAAAGTTAGATCAGATTTCTACCAAGTGAACTGTCATGGCTTCACCTGAATGCTTTTTTGAACAGCAGATTGATGAGGGAACTAGCTCTCCCTCTGAGAAAACTAGTATACACACAGTGGAGCTACAGTTATCAAGATACAAGACACCTTTTCCCTCTCTCTCTTTTCCCTCTCTCTCTCTGACACCCTCTTCTGTATGTGTTGCCCTCCCCCCCCCATTTCCTCCATGCCTAGTGGTTTCCCATGAGAAGGAAACATCACTTTTGCTGGAAGTCTGAACTCCTGCTTGAGGACTTGTGGCAATTAGGCTGAGGACCCGCATGTGGCAGAAGAGTGACAGTTTGCCAAACCCTGTTCTAAAGCAAATTGTACGGTCCTGGTCTTTGGTCTTGAAATGATGTCCTCGCCCTTCCGATAGCTCTCTCCACTCCTCCTGGCAAATGGCTTCTGCTTGTGCAGGAACTTCCTAAAAGCCACTGGTAATAGAGGTGAGGAAAGCACAGGACCAGGAAGACTTCATAGTCCTCTCCGCCTGCTCTGCTCCATGATGGATCAGTGGAGCATGGGAGGTGTTGCTCAGGACAGAGAGTTCCTACATTTCATTGTCCTGAACCCTTTAAATTCCCTGCTTACATCCATGTTTCATTACTCAGTTTATGGACTCTCTCTTTCTGCCCGTAGAGTAATTGGCATCTGAGAGACGGTAAGCAGAACTCCAAGTGAGGGCAAAGAAAGGCAAGGGTTGCAATGTAGCCAGAATGATGTAGGCCTGGTCAACTGTCAGACTTGAGTGAAGTAGAGCTGGGTGGGGGGATTCAGACAAAGTATTCTTGCTCTTGGTATTAGGCCCTTTTTGTGAAAATGTACCTCACTTTTCGCAAAACTTTTCAGGGTATTTAAATATGCATTTCTTTTGAGGGGTTGCAAGTCTATAAAACAGAAATGGAAGGAGTTTGCATAGGAGAGACATTTTAGTATGGGCAAAGGGTGGGTAAGAAATGCACATTTTAGTCCCCCCCCCCAATAATATTTTTATTAGTTTTCATTTACAATCCAATAATAGCCTCATTATTACAATACCAGTTTATAATACAATTATTGATATCAATAATTTAAATATCGAATTACAGTGGACTCTTGGGTTGTGAATGTGATCTGTGTGGGAGGCATGTTCGCAACCTGCAGCATCCGCAAGCCGCAGCGCCTCGTCTCCGCACGCGCGGGTTGCGATTAGGTACTTCTGAGCACGCGCAAAGCACAATCTAGTGTTTCTGGTACTTCTAGGTTTTGGTGCGTCTGTATCCCGAAATCACGCAACCTGAAGCGTCTGTAACCCGAGGTATGATTGTAATTTAGTTAAAGTGGCCCCACACGTGCTAGAATTGATGGCTTGATTGTTTGCTTTATTTCTCCATTCCAAAATCTTATTAATTTTCATTGCATAATAACAATAATCCCTTATATAACAACTGCAATATTAATAATTTCTATTTGTGTTGACACATTAAATGATTTATAAATGTACAAGTGAAAAACTTAAACTATATCTTTGTTCTTCCTGTGTGTGGCAATTATTCTGTCCGTGGTTTTTCTTCCTGTCCTTGTAAGATAGTATGTCTTTCTTTCCCCCCGGTTGTTGCTGTTATCCATCATGCCTTGGGCAGAACTGATATCTCATTGTTGTTCTAGAAATTTCTCTGTTGCTCTGTCCCATGCTTCATTGTTTTGCAACTTTAACAACAGCTGCAAAAGTCACTCTGTCCCAATAAATAACCCATCTTTACCATTTTTCCTCTCAGCCTGGGTAGAAGCGTGGTCTGTTGAACTGCAGATGACTCAGTAATGAACCTTATCAGTTCCTTGGCAAGTTCACAGACTCCTTTCATCCTCCCTTCCAACTGAAGATATATGAGCAATTACACTTCCAATTAAATTAAACTCCAAGTCCTTCAGTTATTCACTTCACTTTGTAAATAATAAAGGATGGGGAAGAGTTAGCTCTATATGTTTCCATCGTACCCCTTTTGCGAAATAGAGCTTCCCTCCCTTTCTCCCCCCAGTTCCATCTAATGTTATATTCCATATCTATAATCCAATTTCTTCCATCCTCGCTTGAACAAATATAATTTGAACTAACACTCAGAGGAGGCTTGATGAATCATAAATGTAGAGAAGAAAACTTTAAATAAAGAAGCCGTAGGCTCCCTCCCCCACACCATCTTTTGCACCAGATGAAGTCTTCTCTCAAGTTTTAACCTTAAAGTTGTTGCAGTTGGTTTTGTTCTACAGTTTGTGATCTCATCTCTTCTAGCGTGCGCCTGTAACTTTAGTCCAATTAAGCTCTAATTAACATGAGAACCTCTGCTTCTTAATGGAGGCATTGGAGGGTTTTCAGCAGGCAAAGTGCTTTTGCACTCAGCACCTCCCTGCTATGCCGGAGCGAGAGCCAGGTACTGAGACGAACTGCGAGTGAAGCCTATTCCCCTCTGTCCCTAGGAGGAATTTGCAAGGATAATTACCCTCAACCATCTTTGTTTTTCCTTTGCCAACAGTCTCCCACTGCCATGGGTTCTGCTTCCAGAAAGGCAGAAGGGAACTGGAAGCTGCACATATTAGTTAGTTAGCTTACATCAGCCAATTCCTGCCATCCTGCCTTGCCTTTCTGTTTGAGGAATTGATCTAGCCCCAATGTCCAGCAACTCTGAGTTGTCTTTTGAAATCAGAAGTGTAGTCAGAAAAGCCATTAATTGGTTTTACTCATCAACCAGAAGTAATCACACTTCCCTCTGGGGGGAAACACAAGATTCAGGAACCTTTTGAACAGAGGAGAGAGAACCAAGGCTGTTATTCTTCCACTCAGTTTTTGCAGCTTGATCTGGTGCAGTCCACCTGCCATGGATCTCTCTACCAGTACTGTGGTCTTCTTGTTCCTCACCTACCACCTCTGACATGATGTCCTCACCCTTCTGACCGCCCTCCCCACTCTCACAGGCAAATGGGTTCTGGTTGTGGAGGCATTTCCTAAAGGCACTGGTAATGGGGGTGGGGGCAGGACAAAGAAGATATCATAGCCTTCCCAATGCTCTGCTTTGTGATGGCTCAGAGGAGGTGTTGCTCAGGACAGAGAGTTCCTATACTTCATTGTCCTGCCCCCTATAAATCCCCTGCTCACATTCATATTTCCTCACTCGGCTTAAGGACGCTTTCATTCTGCCTGGCAGCTGAGAGATGAAATACCATGCTCTGCTCTAAGAAGTTTAGTAAGGGAAGACAAGGGTTGCAACATGGTCAGAATTACAGAGGCCCGATCAGTAGCCAGTAACCAGTGGGGATCCAGTCAAGCATTCTTGTTAGTGGTCTTAGGCCCTATGTTTTGTGAAAAGTGTACCGCGCTTTTCACAAAAGATTTCAGGGTATTTAACTATGCATTCCTTTGGAAGTGTTGCAAATCTATGGCAGCATCCCCCGACCTTGTGATCTCTAGATGTTCTGGACTACAATTCCCATCAGCTGGAACCAGCACCGTGTTTGCTGGCTGGGGATGATGGGAGTTGCAGTCCGGAGCATATGGAATTTACCAGGGTGGGGAAGCGTGGCCTAAGGGGGGCTGCAAGCCTATGCCCTTTCCATGTATTAATTTGTAGATCAGTGTTGCAGGAGGCCCCAGGTATATCCTCCAGCATCTCCTAGTAGGGCTGGGAAGTCCCCTGTCTGAAACTTTGGGGAGTAGCTCTAGTGTAGACAGAACTAAGCTAGATAACCAATAGCCTGGCTTTGAATAAGGTAATTTCCTGTGTTACTAGAGCGAAGCCCCTGCCAAAGTTTGTATCTCTGATGTTGGAGGCACTTAGTCCAAGCTGAAGTAATCACACTTCCTCCAGGGGGAAACACAAGATTCAGAAAGATTTTGAGCAGAGGAGAGAGAACCACACTTTCTGCGGAATAAATTCTCAAGGCTGTTATTCTTCCATTCAGTTTTTGCAGCTTGATCTGGTGCAGTCCACCTGCCATGGATCTCTCTACCAGTGCTGTGGTCTTCTTGTTCCTCACCTACCACCTCTCTGAGGCAGGAGATCGAAGCTATAATTCAATCCTCATTGTGCCAAACGGCGGGGAGTGGGGAGAATGGGGAAAAATTGAATCCTGTCCCAAAGGACATGCATACGGATTCTCACTGAAGGTAAAGGCTTATCTAGATCTTCTTTTTGATACCCTGATCCCAAGGAATAGTCACAATAATGTAATATATATATATTTTAAGTTGCTTCCCATCTTTCTTTCTGAACCTATTGCCTGTATATTGCTGCCTGCAAGGTGCTTTGAAGTGTTGACTGCCATGCTTAAAGATTTAATAGCTCTGAAAAGTCTCCATGCCACTTTGTCAGTCCACACTGGAGAGGCTTAGAGTGAATTGCATTTTGCATAAAAGAAAACTGCATGGACTGGAGGAAAAAGGGACAAGGATACAGAAAAGTTTGGAGTGCAATGAGTTGGCAATATTGTGGTCAGGTTTATCTTCCTGAAAAGTGAGTGCCCAACTGGAAAATACAGACTAAACTGTTAGTGTGGAAGTAACCCAGGTACGTTCTGGTGCTTTCTAGAAGGGTTGCCATAAATCCAGATTTTCGCTGACATGTCCAGGATTTCAACAACTTTCCTCAAAAAAGCTCAACAACTTTTTGTGTTAGGATTCTTACTTCTTGAAATAATATGGCAACCCTAACTTCACAAACTGGAGGAAACCCGCTGCAGCATATGCAGACATAAGAGAGGGATTGAGGATGCCTTAGCCAGCCATTAGCAAGATCAATTTTTTCCTTTTAAGTTTGCTTACTTGGGGCCCATTGGACTGGTTGCACCAAAAGCAATTGTCTTTTGATGCAGCTCAGAATGTAAATCTCAATCCAGAACCAGTAATACTTGTACACAATTAGGGACATGTAATTATGAACAGATAACTGCTTATTCATGTTGCAAGCTACTACTTTGGAAAATTCAGACTAGTTTGATTAACTACAATAACACCCCCTCTTTTGTAACATACACAATATCTTTTTTCCGTTTTGTTTTCTGCATGGGTACTATTTCTTGTTTCTTCCTTTTTGTGCCTGATCTTACTCTGTGCACTTGTAATTTTGTACTTTTTATTTTTCAGTAAAGAATATAAAACAGAGTCCTAGCTTGCAAAAACAGCTTCATTGCAGTCTCTTTCTCTCATTTGCACCAGACAGAGAGAAAACGAGGATTGACTGGTGATGATACTTCCCTCAATGGCATCCGTCTCCATTGCAGTAGTGGTGCAGTTGTACAATCCACTGTCGGACCGTAAGCATCTTCTTCATTTTTCTCTTTGTTGCTTGGAAAGTGATGATGTGAGGGGCTGGCTGAAATCTATTATGTTTCAGCACCAGGGCAGGATAATGTCAGGGTCTATCATCCTCATTCTTAGCTCTCAGACTCTAAGGATACCAACTCTAGGTTGCCTTCCAAATTTCAGAGGAACCCAAGCCCCACATAACAAAGAGAAAAGAGACTGCAACAACAGAGTACAAAGGTAAGGAAAAGCATGAAGCAGCAGCAGCAACACAGAATGAGGTTGTTCTGCTTTACATCTGTTAGGCAAGAGCAGCAATGCTTCATGGCACCGATTCACCCTTACCTTAAAAAACAGTCCCATTCTTAACAGAAGATTGGGGTTCAAAACCCCTTTAAAGATTCTCTAGCTTCATCTTCCAGGGGCAGATTGGGAGGGTGTGGTGTGGGTGGACCCCGGGTGGCACAGGGCAGATCCACCTACTCCAGGGGTCACAACACACAGCCCTACTTAGAAGTTGAGGTTTGGTAGACACACTATACCTGATGAGGTCTACAAATGACACCTTTTAAAAATCTAAGGAGGCAACTGCCCTCTTGACTTTCGTGGTGGAAAGCAAATCATTCCAATTTGGGTCGTATTTCCAGAGAGGCAGACATTATCATATTGTCTTCTTTTTTTTGCAGGTGGGGAGAGTGGACAGAGGTTAAGGAATGCCCCAGGGGCTACCTGGTTGCCTTCACTCTGAATGTTGAATCCCGAAAAGGGCCAGCTGATGATACAGCAGCCAACAACATCCAGTTCAGCTGTGGAGATGGTGTTATACTGGAGGGCGAGTCTCCCACCTTTGGTACTTATGGCCAGTGGAGCAAGCGCTGCCCCGCTGGTGCCATCTGTGGGATCCAAACAAAGGTGGAGGCTCCAGCTCCAGGTGATAGCACAGCACTTAATGATGTCAGGTTCTTCTGCTGTGACTGAACCACCTGGGCTTCATCCTGCCTGTGTTCTAATGGTTTGTTGGCATGAAAGTTAACTAACAATAAATCTTAACCAAAGAGTTGTGTGTACCTTTTGGAGCTTTGTCCCTTCCTGATCTCAGTTCCTTAAGACTGCATGAATTGGTTTTGGATGGGAGTGTTGGGATACTGCCAGGGAGACAAAGCCATCAGGCAGGCCTCCACGTCGTCTCTGGATGATCTCCCCGTCTCCCGTAGAACAGCACCAGTCAATTGGTGACACGAGCCTCAGACACATTCCAAGGCTAGTGCACACCCTTTCTGCAGAGTTTCCACAACTGAAGATTCAGCCAGGAGAGCATATAGAATCATAGAATCATAGAATCATAGAGTTGGAAGAGACCACAAGGGCCATCGAGTCCAATCCCCTGCCAAGCAGGAAACACCATCAGAGCACTCCTGACATATGGTTGTCAAGCCTCTGCTTAAAGACCTCCAAAGAAGGAGACTCCACCACACTCCTTGGCAGCAAATTCCACTGTCGAACAGCTCTTACTGTCAGGAAGTTCTTCCTAAGGTTTAGGTGGAATCTTCTTTCTTGTAGTTTGGATCCATTGCTCCGTGTCCGCTTCTCTGGAGCAGCAGAAAACAACCTTTCTCCCTCCTCTATGTGACATCCTTTTATATATTTGAACATGGCTATCATATCACCCCTTAACCTCCTCTTCTCCAGGCTAAACATGCCCAGCTCTCTTAGCCGTTCCTCATAAGGCATCGTTTCCAGGCCTTTGACCATTTTGGTTGCCCTCCTCTGCACACGTTCCAGTTTGTCAATGTCCTTCTTGAACTGTGGTGCCCAGAACTGGACACAGTACTCCAGGTGAGGTCTGACCAGAGCAGAATACAGTGGCACTATTACTTCCCTTGATCTAGATGCTATACTCCTATTGATGCAGCCCAGAATTGCATTGGCTTTTTAGCTGCCGCGTCACACTGTTGGCTCATGTCAAGTTTGTGGTCAACCAAGACTCCTAGATCCTTTTCACATGTACTGCTCTCAAGCCAGGTGTCCCCCATATTTACAGCTTTGTTCAACGTAGATCAGAACAAAGGAAAAACATGACTGCTTGCATTCGTGTCCAGGAAAACAGCCAGAACAAAAGCTATATACAAAACAGAAGTTCCCAGAGAGAACAGTGCTGGGAGTAAACAGGCATGTGACACACAACAATCATGCCTGACCATTTAAGGTGGAACGGAACTGTATCCTAACAGGGAGGCCAGTGCAATGTTAAAGAGGGTACCATCCTAGAGCCGTAGTGTGATATCTTTAGCCCATTGATCTTGCCAGGCCCACCAGCCTCTCAGTTTGTCCCATGAGGTTGCTTTGAACAAATCGCACCCACTTGGCAATCACCAGCCATCTTAGGCACAGAGATCTCTTATGTCTGATCTAAGCACCATGCGGTAAGATTTGAGAATTTGAAGGAATCTGAGCACCACGCATAACAGCCAACTCCTGGGGGCTGAGGTCCCTTCGCCTCCCCCATAAGCTATTTAAGGGGGTCACTCCCCCCCCAAAGTTGATGGGCATTGCCATTCTAATGGTGTGCATCATGTGATCAATTAAGTGGGGCGGAGCTTACCTGCCTCGCCCCATATTGTATTCGAGTTGGCACCCCTGGCACCAAGCACCACCAGGAGCTCAAAGTGCAAGCAGAGTCTTATCCCAAATTTTAGCACTCTGCCCGACAGTGCTCAGCTCAGAGATAAGCCTCAGGCTGTTATTTGAGAGTAGAAGGCAACGTTTGCACATATTCCTACTCCAGGAGTGTGGTGGAGGAGGTTGCAAATGCCTTTACTCTTAAAGTGCAGGCAGCATTTCACTTACCTTCAATCTATGCACAATGAGACTCTAGTGCTGAAACCAGAGAAAAGACTCTGCTCGCTCCCGGGAGTAAAAGCTGGGGTTTTGTTGTTGTTGTTTTTACAGGGGTTGTTTGTTTTTTAATTACATGATCACGAAACACTACAGTCACCCTGACTGTACTCATTCAAGCCTGATTGCACAATTCTATAAATTATAATACAAGAACAAGTACATATGTTAAGAACCATCCATGATCAAAAGTTCCCTGGCTGATGAGAAGGCTTTTTGAAGTTGTTACAATATAATACACGCAAAAATATAAAGTTTAAAAACCAATCTCATCAGAGAGTCATTTCCATTTGTATGGTGAAATAAATAAGGCAGTAAAAAGCTGATTTTTATTCTGAAAGGTTAGGGAGAGGGATCTCTGGCTTTCTGAATGTGTGTATGTATACTTGTCTGCCTGCCTCTTTCTCTCTCTATGTGTGTGCCTGTGGATTTTATTTATTTTCTATTTCTATTTATTTATTTGGATTTTTATTCTGCTTTTGGCCCCATCCACTCATGGAAGATTGGCCACATTCCAATTTACCCCTTGGGGCAGAATCGCTTCCCTGCTCCTGCCATATAGGGATTGATGAATGGATATGTTATTTTCTTCTGAGTCCCAAAGCACAGCAATCAAAACTATGGTTAGAGAGCAGTGGAGTAGTGGATTCATGATCACATCTGTGGTCCCAAATGCTCAGGTGGCCAGAATAGAAGTTTCCCCCTCTTCCGTTTGCTGCACTGGTAAACGGCTGTTGTAGCTGAGTGACCTAGACTGCCACCCTCTTGGCAGAATGTAGTTGCTTTGGATCTAGTAGATCATCGCCTCTTCTGCTCCACCCCAACCTCATTCCTTTAACATCTTGGACTTCATCCTTCCTACTGCTGGACATCTTTACTCCTCCAAAGAGCAAATATCAGAAGTTAGGATTGCTCTTTCATTTATGATGCCACTGAACTGGATCCAACTCTGGATTTTTCTAAGTAGAGAAGGAATTAGAAATGTTTTTATTATATTTTTTAAATGTCAGTTTTAAATTCAGACATTTACATTTTGATCATGAAAACTGAGTGCATGATCAAACCTACCCAAGCACTCAGATCAAAGTATCATGTTAGACTGGAATGCTTCATCCAGGGGTCTCTTCAGAAAACCATTAAAGTAAAAAAAAAAAACAAAACTGGAAGAGGACAAACAGAAAGAGACACAGATGCAGAAAGCGAAAACAACAGATGGAGTGAGAAAGAAAGAAAGAAAGAAAGAAAGAAAGAAAGAAAGAAGGAAAATAAAGTTGGGAAATTGAGAAGGACGGGCGCAAGGGGCCAAGCAAAATAGAGGTTAATAAAAAAGACATTCACCAGACAAATTTATTGAAAGATGGAATGAAGTTCATTTATGAATCACCGGAATACCAATTTTTGTGACAATATACATTATATATGTTATTTTCTCTTTCAGAATTCCTTTTATTTCTCTCATATGCAAGTATCATACTTTCATTGATTGCCTGTTCTGTTCTTTCACCAATAAAAATTAAATGAAATGAAGAATAAGTGTGTCCCTTCTTATCAGCTGTGAGAGGAGCAGGAAGAGGAGATACAGGCAGCATGTGTGTCAGAGTGTGTGTGAGCAAACTAGGGGTGACAAGGTGAAACATTCACCTCTTGTGGTCGTGGCAGACAGAAGTGGGTTAGGAGGAGCTGCTTCCCATAGTGCTCAGCCCTAGGAAAATGCAGAGGTCACCTGGCTAAGGGGAGGAAAAGGCCTCAGAATGCAGTAAGCCAGAAGTTTGCACAACAGCTTCCTAAAGTGAAATGAAGAGGTGGGGGAAGAGATGTTGCCAAAAGAGAACTGGGACATGGCGATGCCCTCTAAGAAACATAGGATTGCTCCCTAAAGTGCACTAATGGCTGGTTGTAAGCCACTTTGTGTTGCTCTGGGCAAACACATTTAATCAATAAAATATATCTCAATAGAAGCAGCCACCACAGTCCAGTGTTAAATAGCAACAGTTTCAATAGTGAAGCATAAGACAATATAAAGATGAATATACAACATCACTCAAAAATATACAGCACGCATCAAACACCCTATGAATACAAAGGTTCAGTTTTAAAACTTCAGACAATAAAGACCACAAAGATGGCACCAGGTGGGCCTTTCCAGGGAAGGCATTTCATAACTAGGCTGACACCACCTATAAGACCCTGTATCCAGGAGCACTGGAAGAGAGCCTCTGATGATGATATCGGGTCCAGGTAAGTAGACCTGGGAGGAGGTGATCCTTGAGGTAAGCTGCTCCCAGGCCATTTAAGGAGTAGACAATAAATCACTAGTGCAATATAGTGAAATTGTCCACAAACCCTTTATGAACCTTGATACCGCATGTGGAACTTTCTGTACTGTTTTCAAAGTCACCCCACGCATAACTCACTTCAGTTAATCTAACAGGAAGATCATGGTTAATGGACACAAGACTACCTCTAGCCCTGTAAGGTTATAGTGTATCAGATTAAGCTGATAAAAATTCATTTCAATGAATGAGTCATTTCAGCAAAAAATGGTGAAATGGACAGTTCAGCAATTTGTTTCAGTGCTTGCCTTCAAGCAGCAGTTAGTTTCAGCAGTTAGCTTTGGTATTTGGATTAGCCAGTTTTCTAGAGTCAATAATCTGTTTTAGAAATTAAAGGTCATGGGTGTACTTGAGTGGAGTACACTCCCTTGATCAAAGGGACTTCCTTTCCTCCCTTTGCACCCCTGCAGAACCTCAAAAGGTGCTCCAAAGGGTTGGGGAACCCTCCAGAGCAGATTTTTAGGGGGAGATGAGGAGCTGGCGGAAGAAGAAAAGAAAAGAAAAGTCCCATTGCAGAAACAGACATCAATTGCATAGACATTTCTTCCTTCAAAGCATTCACTAAAGCTGTTGCAGCTCTTGCTGTTGTTCCGTTGGAGTGCTTTTCATCCAGAGTAGGCGCCATGTTTTTCAGGTCTGCTTCCTTGTCTGGATGTGTCCCTAAGTGCCTTCCATTCAAACAAAATTCAAACAAATGCTTGGCAGGGGGTTGGACTCGATGGCCCTTGTGGTCTCTTCCAACTCTATGAT